AACCCAAAATTTTGAGACCGAATTTACTTAGAATTTCGGCCTGACGTCTTTCCTTTTTATTGAATTTATCTAAGACCATCTCCCCTTCATACAATTAGCTTAAAACCCAAATTTTAATTTTAATTTTTGTTAGTAGTCTTAGCTATTGGAGTAAACATGATTGGTCATCCATACAACTATACTAATATATAGCTTGTTGGAGCATGATTTCTTTTTTGACAAAAGTACTTTTTTTTTATCGTTACAAATACTTTTTTCAAAGTAAAGGTATGTGGCCAAGTTTTTAGAAGGAAAAAAGTTTTTGAATAAAAACAAAAATAGTTTTTGCGAAGCAAAAAATAGTAGATTCCCCTCTAAATCACTTTTTTTGAAGAGCGTTTTTGAGAAAAATATATTTAGATATATTTTTTTAAAGTTTGATCAAACACTAACTGATGTTTAATTGATTAGCCAAACTTCTCACTAAAAGTACATTTGAGAAAAATACTTTTCAAATAAACTGATTTTAAAAGCAGGCAAACAGGCTATAGGAAATCAAACCATGTTCCACGATTAAACCGTGTAACTAGTGGTGGGCGTTTGGATAGTTCAGCTTGGATGTGAAAATTTCGATTTTTGGATTGACGAAATGACAATCCAAATCCAATTCAACTAATCTCGGATTAGATCGAAATCTTTTAGTTCGATTTCGGATTAATCGATTTGGATATTTCAGATTTTCGATTTGAGTCTATAAATTGAGATATTTATTCTTCTTACAAAATGAACATCCAAATTAGGTATTCATGTTAAAATGCCTAAAAAGTTCCTTATTCTTACTGTAATTGTCTAAGTAAAGCATTTAAGTAATTAAATTGTTATCAAAAAAGCAATGAGAGACATTAGTAGGGCCGATAAGAATTAACGACAATAAAACTATATCCAAATAGAATATATTCTGATATTAAATTAGTAATTAGTATTGAATATATGAGATAATGTCTAATAGTAAGATATTGGGCTTATTGCTATTGGTATATGGATAATAGATTAATATCTTATGAGTAACACTAAATATAAAATATAAAGTATAAAATTTTGACTTTCGAATATCTAAAAATTCGAATGCAACTTGAAATCCAAAAATTTAGAAAATTAAATTAGAAATCCAATCCATAATTTAAAAATCCAAACAAAAATTCAGAAAGTTTAATAAATTTTTGGTTTGGATTTAGGATTTGGCCAAACTATACTCACATTTAAGCTGACACGCGTCCTCAATAAAGCGAATAACTGTAGTACTAAAGGCAAGCAAAGTTTGTGTCTTGTCAAAAACAATTAAAAGAAAAAAACACATGGATAAGCTACATCACTATCTTGTCGAACGGCAAATAGATAAAGCACATATTCCGTAATATTATACACGTCATCAACATTATCATTCAGTAACTGGTCTTTCAATTTGTGTCACAATCCTTTCATTTTGATCGTTCAAATATTTGATACTATTTTTTTAACAATATTATTGTATGTAACTTTTACAACTTTTAAAAATTCAACTATATCACTTTGAAGATTTTATACAAAGTTTACAAATCACTATTATCACTTTGAAGATTTCATATAATTTTTTGCCTTCAAATGTTACAAAATTAAAACTTATAGTTGGTATTTACCAGCTATAATCGATAGTGTTGATTTTCACTTCTTTTGAGCCGGGATCTTTCGGAAACAGTTTCTCTATCTTCATTAGGTAGGGGTAAAGTCTGCGTATACTTCACCTTCCACAAACTCCAGTAGTGAAATTTTACTGAGCTTCTTGTTTTTGTTATAATCGATAGTGTTGAGAATTTTCACGAGTTGACTTACATGGCAGTTACTTAGAAAATGATGATTATAAATAACACTAATATAATAAGAATGAATTGACAAAGTAAAAAGAATGATAAATGAATTTTTCTAACTAATTAATGTACATTTTATATTTAAATTAATATAATTTATTAGAACACCCTTTTTAATATACCCGCAATACCAACCGAGCTACAATTTAGCCGCCACAGCATCAAAGATCATTAAGATGTAGGACGGTGAATGCGGTTAAAAGTTTTTGCTTCCAGTCAATAAAGATAAGTTGTAAAAATCAATTAATTTTAAGGTACAATGCTTCCTCTATAACCCAAAAATTACCTCATAACTCATTTACTCGAGCATTAAAAATGAAGGAAAAACTATATTGTATAGCCACTTCCAAAAATAATACTCAACAAAATAAATATTACTTATATATATTAAAATAATATACATTTTATATACATAATTAATGTATATATTTTGTACATTTAGCTTGCAAATATAATTAAACGGGTAACTTGCCCTAAAATGAATTAAGCCAAATAGAGGCAAGGTGTGGCAGGTACCTTAGCTCTTTCTTTCACTATCAAATCTACTTTCAATACTGGTTTTAGCTTGACTTCTCTCCCACCAAAACACTTCAAATTTAAATTCATGACTTCGTTGTCCGCCAGCTATTTATACTAGTACTATGTTTTCAAATGAAAAAGCTGGTGATGATTAGCAGTTCGTATTATTATACACTTTTCTAAGTGAAGGCAAGGAAATCTTCATAAATAATTAGGTAGAGATTTCATGTTATCGGTCAATTGTTATCTCGGCCAGCGTTTACTAAGATTTTCATTTGTGACAATGAATGACACCCAGCAGTTTAGACAATGTTCTAAGTTTCAATATAACCTGTCAGTATATTCTTTCAAAAGATGCTTTCACTATAAATAATAAGTTTCTCCTTTAAGCATACTTCTACAAATATATTGTAGTTGTTACTTGTTACTGTAACAAGGGAGAGACCATAATTCTCGGACAAGAAAGCTTTCCTTGGCACTAGCTCTAACTAAACGGTTATAGCTAGGAAGGAACACTGGCCAATCTTAACATTAACCACGGATGGTGAGTCCAAGCCAGTTATATCTTGACTACTACAAATAGGTAGTGGAGAACCATGGTTCGAATCCCAACGGAGCAAAAAAAAATTAGGTGATTTATTTTCATTTGCATAAGCTTTGATGCGCAAAGTAACTTCGCCTGTTTGGCCAAGCTTCCCCAAGGCTTAAAAGCACTTTTTTTCCTTAAAAAAAAATCTTTTTTTCAAAGTTGAAGTGTTTGGCCAAGTTTTTAGAAGAAAAATAAAAGTGCTTTTGAGTAGAAGTAGAAACACTTTTTTAAAAGTAATTTTGAGAAAAATCCACTTAGAAGCACTTTTTTACAGCTTGGCCAAACACTTATTGCTGCTCAGAAGTGCTTTTCAAATTAATTAACCAAATACAAACTGTTTCTCACCAAAAGTAATTTTTAGAAAAGCGCTTTTGAGAAATAAGCTGATTTTAGAAGCTTGGTCGGAGAGGCTATTAGTACATATGCTAGCGAGAAATAACAAGTACCTGATAGAGATAGAATAGTCAAGGTAAAACTGTTCCAAGCACCACCATTGGTTTAAAAAAAAAATTACAGATAGATACTTTTGAAGGGGTCTAGGGAATACAGGGAGGCTCTGCCCCAAATTGAACATTTTTGCTAACACACACAATTAATAGGCCATAAGCAAAGCCTAAATCTAGAAACCAAAATTCAAGTCAATCCAAATGAGACAATGAGCAATATTTCATTGTCATTATCTTTATGCTAATCAACTTTGTAAAGTAGATTTTAATTGAACTTATTAATTTTATATGTACCAACGCAGGGGCCTTTGATATGGAATCTAGATGATGTATACAACTAAGTAAGCCACCCGGCACTAACTGTTTGTTAAATAGAGATAGTGTTAACAATTGTGAAGGACAGCTATTTGTATCCTAAAAAAACTTGGAATCAAGTTAATAAATATTTCCCCAAATAGCAACATCATCATTCATCAGTTATCACAACAAGAGTAACTAAAAGAAGATGCAAAAGGCGCATGTTAACATTTCACTCAGCACTTTACAGAACTTCAAAAGATAACATCCTATAGAGAAAAATCAACTAAGAAGAACATTTTGATGGGGACAATGCCCCCCCCCCCCCCCCCCCCAAAAAAAAGGGCCACAAGCAAAGTCTATAATCAAGAAACCAATATTCGAGTCAATCCAAATGAGACCATGAGAAAGATTTGATTGTCATTATCTTTATGCTAATGACAATCCTAAAGAGAATTTAACAAAAGTTCTTAGTTTATCACAAACATGTACCAAAGCAGTGACCTTTGACACAGAATCAAGATCATGTATGCGGTTAAGCCACCAGGTACTAACTACTCATTAAACGGAGAGTGTTGCCCCAATCCATAACAACTTGCCAAGGACAACGTATCTTTTTATAGTTGTGGTGTCCGATCTAGCTTGCACAGACGTCTCGATTAATTCCATAAGATACTTGCTTCCCACCAACATAAGTACCAGATAATGAGAACATTCGTAATTAACAAAACTCAAAACTATATACAAAAAGCAGGGCAATTAAAAATGGAACCAACTCTATAAGATTTCCCCCAACTGCAACATTAAAGTTCATACCTAATTAGCATATAGTATCATCCTACATTGTACTAGTAACATTTAAGTCAGTTGTTTACAGAACAATGTCAAAAGATAACACTCCAGTAAAAAAAACAGCAACTAAAAAGAGCACATTGATGGGCACATTTTGCATCTTACCCATGTAATTAACTAATTCCCCAGGTGACAAGAGAATTTCTCTAAGGGTGTTCAAACTTGAAAGAAGTGAAAAAAATTCTCCGACAAAGGGTATTCAATACATGTTATATACCTATAAAATCTAATATTTTACCTATATATATAATATGAGTAATTTTTTGACGAAGGGTGGTCAATTGACCATCCTTAAGCAAATGTAGCTTCGCCCTTGGTATTTGCTACCTCCCACTAGGACAAGCACTAGGTAATGAGAACATTTGGAATTAACAAACTCAAAAAGAAAAAAAAAAAAGTATATACAAAAATCAGTAAAATTGAAAAAAGTGGAATCAAATTTATAAGATTTCCTCAAAGTGCAACATCATACCTAGTATCATGTTACTCTCCTACATTTTAGTAACATTTCTATGTCAAAAGAAAACACCCCAAAAAAGAAAAAGAAGAACTACAACTATAAAAGCACTTTGCTGGGCACATTCTGCATCTTTATCAAGATGCCTTCTTAGCACATGAATACACCCAATGCACCACCCACCAAAAAGAGTAACTAAAAGAAGATGAATGGAAAATTTAAAAAAGAAAATGAAGTAATAAAATTTTCATCTCCATTTTCAGCTTATACTTTCTGACTAAGCCTAAATTTATAGTTGTAGGAACTACTAATCTAATCAGAAGGTTCAAAATGGCGCATAGTAACAAGAAGGGCACCTGATCAAACCATTCTCATTACAAGCCGAGCAAGTCCTGAATCCACCTTTCTCACTGTAACATTTGTGGGACCCACTGCACTCGTCGCAGAGGATAAATCTATGGCCGTCACACACTTGGCACGCGCCGAAGCCCGCCGCCGGAGTCAGCCCTTCGACGTACTTCTTCAGCTCGCCGGCTTCATGCAGCTCCCGAATCTCGTCCGCTCCACCAATGTACCTCCCGCCGATGAAAACCCTCGGCAGGGGCAGTTTCGTCTTTTCACGTACCCCCAATATTGTCCTCAGCTCCTCCATGAACCCGGCGTCCATCGATACATCTCGTTCGTCGATCGAAACCCGGAAGCTGCGTAAGATTGTTCTCACGGCTTTACAATCGTCGAATGTAGAACGGATAACTCTCAGGCTCGTGAAGTAAATCACAATCTTTTTCTCAGCTCCAGGGATTTGAATCAACGGCTCTGATTTATGGGTCTCCTTAGGAGTCAATTCGGGTACGGGTCGGGTTGAGAGAGCACGGAGGATGGCGTTAACGCGCCGGACGCGGTGGAAAATATTGGGCTTTTTGGTCGGAGTGGGTGAGTTGTTGCTGGAAATTGAATCGTCGGAGCAAAGGGTTTGAATATCTTTGAAAGAAGGGCAGGAGAAATTTGGGGAAGAGGGATTGTGAACCCAAATCTTTGATTTGGTTCGAGTTAGCAACATGGTTTAACAGAAATCGAGAACCCAAAAAAAACAATGAATTGAGATTTCGCTCTGTTTTTTGCTTGTCAGTGTAATTTTGGGTTCTGATCCAATAGAGAGATTGTCGTGTTGGAATTGATTTTGGAATCAGCGAAAATGGAAGAAAAATATAGGGATAAAAATGGTAGAGTTTGAGGGTTTGGCGTCAGAGTTAAGGAAATGGAGAAGAGGGATGCGAACGCGGTGTAAGTTGTCAGGGTGGGTGGGGGTGCCAGAAGAGAGAAATGAAAGAGAAAAGATAAAGGTCATTTTGAGAAAAAAAATAAAATAAAAATACTACTAGTACTATACTATAGTATAAAATAAAACGAAGGAGAAGAGCACGTGTTTGGTTTGACCGAATGGTTTCAATTAGGGGGAAACCTATAAACCGCACCAATTCGATAATTCGAGTCAAATCGAAAAAAAAAATTCGATTATGGTTTGGTTTGATTTGATTTGGTGTTGCAAAAAAAAATCGATCATAATTGGTTTGGTTTGGTTTTAACCAAAGAAAGTCAAACCGAAATCAAATCAATCCGACATTACATATATAGAAATTTGAGATATATTTAATATATAAATATATTTATTGTGATGTAATTTATAAATATCTATTAAAAAATTTCATAATTTTATCTTTTAAGGTATTATTTCAAGGTTGGACTTAGAACTTTTGAATGTTCCAAGAAGTTTTATAGCCATTAATATTAGTAAATTAAATAATGCTAACAAAAGCTCAAATCAAATCAAATCAATACTAATGCTAACAAAAGCTCAAATCAAATCAAATCAATACTAATGCTAACAAAAGCTCAAATCAAATCAAATCAATACTAATGCTAACAAAAGACATTCAATTTAATATTACGAACGAGAATGTATTGAATATCTATTTTTTGTTTTGTAATAATTTTGGATAAAAATGCATACCCTCTTTTTATTTTTTCTTTAGCGTTTAGTCATGTAATTAGTACTCCCTTATTAGTCCAATTATTTTAACATAACTTAGTACTTTTAGATTATGTTTATTTTTATTATGACTTTTTAATTAGCAATATTTATATTATATAATTTTATTGTCTTTATTATTGAATATTTTAGGATAATGTCATGACATATCTCATATTTTATATTATTTTCTTGAAAAATACTTTATATAGTTACATCTTACTAGGATTAAAGAAATATTTTGAGCACAAGTTATATGTTTGTTCTACTAAAATTTTACCAAAAAAACCCCGAGAAAACTCGAATAACCTGAAAACCCGAAAAAATCGAGATTGAAAAACCCGAGTTTTATTGGTTTGGTTTGGTCTTTAGATTTAATAACACGACACAATTGGTTTGGTTTGGTAATTATAAAATCCGAACTAACCCGACCTATGTACACCCCTAGTTTCAATGATAATACTCCCTCAGTTACAATTTGTTTATTATATATTGGTATATTTTTATAATTGTAAATAATAAATTTTATACTTTACATAATATTATTTTTGGCGAAAAGTTATTATAATCGAAAATGTTCTAACATCATAAATTTGAGAAATATTATAACCACACATATATTATAATATATTACTTATAAATTAAAACAACAAATTGTAAGGGTCTTCATTTTTTTCTAAATTTAGTACCGAGTGAAATTATTATACCAAACGAACTGAAGCGAGAGAATAACAATAGTAATTAGTATTATTTAATAATACTAATAATAATATTACTTTACTTTGAAAATGATCCCCATTACTCCATAATTTTGCCTGATCCTTAGATTAAGGATGAATAAAATGACTCGACACCACTTTTGAGTTTTGAGAAGGGAAAAATAAAAGGTATGGAGTTACTTTTCCTTGCAAACATTAGGAACATTTGTGCAATTAACATAATGTTAGTTATTATCACAATAATAGGAAAATAAGACAGTTCAATCCTTGTGATTAGACTGAAATCTGCTAAGGAAATGAATCTTCCACCTAACTTAACTCAATAGCTAACCCAAGTTTTTAGAGCCCGTTTGGACCTAAAAATTTTTTAGCTTTTTTCCGAAATTAGTAATTGGCCATAAAATTTTTAATTTTCACTTAAAAATGAATTTTAAATTTTTTTGAAAATTTAAAAAATTCGAAAAAGTTGTTTTTCAAAATTTTCACTCAAATTACTCACAAAAATTCAAAAACAAACCAAAATTATATTCATATCCAAACACAACTATAATTTTCAAATACCATTTTTACTTAAAAAAACTTTACTTTTTTGGAAATTTTACAATTCTTATGTCCAAACTCCCACTTAGAATCGTTCAAACCGAAGCTATAACTCATTCACTTAATCGATGTGAAATACTACTCTCTGAAGTGATCATTCTTTTTTATTTTGGTTTCAAAATAAGTGTCCGCCTACATAATCAAGAAGGAATTAATTTTATTTTTTCAAAATTTGTCCTTATTTACATATTTTAATGTGTCAAGTAACAATTAATTAAGATTAATTTAATGAATGTATTTTTTTTTCTCTAGAAATTCGTATTTCCTTAAATGGGTGTGTTAAAGGTAAAATATCACTTATTGTTGAGGGAGTAATAAAATATTACTGTATTACCACAAGCTAAAACATTGTCCTTCAAAAACAGGTGCTTATAACGTTGACATTAGTGCTAAATGTTGACATCATAAATGTCGGACATCTATTAGATCAATAATGATTAAAACGAAAAGAAGTTTGGTGATATTTTCAAACTCAAGAGTTGTACAATACTATTTCAAACCAAATATTAATCAAATGTGTATTTAATATTTACGAGTCCAACGAAGAGATAAACATGCATGTGGATTGTCTAGAGAGTCAAATTCTTAGGCTGGAGAATGTAGGCGATGATGCTAGGGGGTGGAGTATCTTTTTTTCTTTTTGTGTTTGTTTACCCTCAAAACGGATAATAATTAAATTTATATGCGATTTTAAGAATACGTGATATAACTTGGTACAAATTAAGAAGACAAATTAATGTAGAAATTAACAATAAAAAAATAAGTGCAAATCACACAAATTGAAAAGCCTTGGCCTTAGAGTTCGATTACCCGAGCCAAGAAATGTCTCTTCTGATATAAGAACAGAATAACAAGGTGATAAGAGCTAGATATTGCTAGTAAATTGCTTTGTATTGCGTATTTCAACGTGTATTACAAACGATCAGACCCCCTTTATATAGTAGGGGTGTCCTACTCTTGGTACAATTCTATACAAAGTAAAAAATCTTATGATTTGCTAATTACTCGGCCTCTCCTTGATACGTGCCATGATTTCCAATCGATCACGGATATTTTGACCCTCTATTATTCGGTTCGGCAGATTTCCTTCGATCTTGTTTGGTCTCGATTATGTCTGGTCCCGGAGTCACGAACCCGACGATGCAATCTCGCACCTCGGTTCGATATAACTCTAGATCGAACTTTGTCCTGTCACAATTTAGTCTCTATTGGCCATATAATGGGTGAACCCGATTTCGACTGTATACAGATAGTCACCTAGTTTTTTGGAGAGAAGACGACGAGAAACTATATGAACCTCGAACCCTGCTTCGATAGACCATGACGTAAGCGACAAATGGTCACTGAAATGCCCCGTCGGTTCAGTTACCAAGGCATTAAATGTGCGTCAGTTGCTTGTCCGCCACTACGGGTTTTGAGCTGCCGTTAGCAGCCTATAAATACCACAATTTACATTTATTCAAACTTTATATCCAAAGTTTCTTCCATCTTTGTTCTTCCAGAATCTCTTCATCCTCCAACCTTTATACCCAAATTTCTTGAACTTTCTGCAAACCGCTCAACTTCTCAACTTCTTCTTCTTCGTCTCTGCTCTAAAAATGGCAAAAACCTCTAAGACTGTCCCACAAAAGGAGGCAACCTCTTCATCACGACACGTGGGCTATGGGGCCGCGACGGAGCCACACCTTGACGAATTCGTTCCTGGAGGGTGCGGGACCACTGCTAATTTCAAGATCGAAAAAACTTCCTCGGTACCAGGTCGATGTGAACCAGTCTCGAGATACATATGTTCGATCAACGAAGATATTCTTGACCAGGTCAAGGAGGACTACAACTGATGCCAATAAGCATGTGCTGGTGCCTTCACTTGAGGAATCAATCACCACCCACGTGGAGGGTGTCTTAAGTATTTACACTTACTCTTTCATGTTGGGTCCCTTTGACCCGGTAATCATCGCCTTTTGCAAGAGGTACGAGGTGACCTTCGGTCAAATCCACCCTTCTTTCTGGAGGATAATAATCCTCCATCGTTTTTTTGCAAGCAAAATTGAGGGGTGTTCCTTCACCCTCGATCATCTTATGCGTTTATACAGCCCCCGATTCTATCGAGGGGGATTAATCAAACTTGCTCGCCAGGCCATCATGGCCCCATTCTCGAGTATAGATGAGGACCGGGACCGAATCTGGATGGGTCGTTTAGTTCGAGTGAGGACCTCGGACTTGATCCCCGCCAAGCATATGCCATTTCCCGAGAAACAGAACATGAAGTGCAAGTATAATTTCACCTTAAATACTTCATTGATCATTTCTCGTCTTCCCTCACTTCTCATCGGTGTTTTCGTGATGCAGCCGTGGATCGGATGCTGGAAGTGGTTCCTCAACTCAAGGAATGGGTCGAGGGTCTTGTGTCATAGAGGCCATATTCTGAGCGCCCATGGCACGAATTGTCGAAGGGTTGATGGGAGGCCCGCAACCATGGTAAGTTTTCTCTCTGATTCAATACTTTTTGATATTCTCCTTGTACTGTTGAATTCTTATCGGCTATGATTTCTTTTGTAGGACTCCTCAAAGACGTTGCTATGAGACCTCCATCCGGTGATGAGGATGTGCCTCTCGAGCCCCTTGCTCCGAAGTAGGCTGACGATAACAAGAGAAAAAGGGTCTCGAGTTCCCCGAACTTAGAAAAGAAAAAGCCGAAGAGGAGGTCCCGCAAGCCCAACGGGAGCTCTAGTGCTCTACCTTCGGACTCAGTCCATCGACTAAGAGATGAGTCCGAAGAAGAGGAAGATAAATCAAAATGATGGCTTGCGTGCGGGCTGGTATCACGATACAAGGGCCCTCCGAATCGGTAGGTGATCAAATTGAACTACCTCGAAATGAGGAGGCCGGTGAGGGAAGTCTAGCCGGTGTTCCCAAACCTGAAGGGGGCAATGAACCGCCGCCCCAAGCTAAGGGAGCCGAGAAAGATATCGGGGCTGATACTCATCGTGCA